TATCATAGGCGCAGGGCTGCAAATAACGGAGAGCAGGTTGCCGGTCATGATGACCGGCCAAATATTTTTTAGCCCGGACAAACCCAGATTCTGGCCGGTCAAATGATGAATACTAATAATTTTTTTTTGCCTAAGGAATATCCAATTATGCTGGCAATAGATCGTTATTACTACATTGATGTTCACATTTTTGATAGCAAATTGGTGAAAAATGCATTCGCACGTTGTAGAGTTCCTTTCAGCGGTTTTCGCACGTTTTAATGTTACGTTCTACCTTGAGTATCATTGCACAGCGGTGTCTGAAGTCTCTAGAGGTAAAAAGTGAAGCGTAAATCCTTTTCAAACTCCCAAGGTTCAGGAAACGGAATACACATACAGTTCAGCAAACTTTAGAAATTACGAAAAAAACCCAAAAAAATTGGGTTATTTTACAAAATCTGCACACGCTTGTTTTACGTTGATGTTCCGAAATGAACATCGGTGAAACTTGATCTTTTTCCTTGCCTGGCACGTGATCGAAAGTCACTTCCTCAAAGAAGAATCGTCGCTGATATTTTCGGCAAAGAAGTTGATTTGCATTGGCGAGAAGTTTGTTCCACAAACAGCGTGTTGATGATCAGAAGTCAATAAATAAACTTGGGTCATCGCGCAACAGTTTATCGCGAAGGGCTCAAATGTGAGCAGAAATTTGCATAAAGTTGTTTACAAGAACGAGAATCTAGCGCCGCGATAGACGACGACCTTCCCTCTTGAGTAGCTTACATTTTTATCGGACCATTCTGGAATCGAGTCTGCAAACGAGATTCATGCTCGACATAAAAGAAATTATTATTAATCGATGCGCTAACATTTATTCCCGGAGAAACACAGGACGACCTGTTGAGAATTGCGATCGATTTGCCTGAATTCCTTCGAATTCCCAAAGAAGGTCACATTGCTGATTACAGCAAAGCCGAAAGTACAGAACGACTTGCAACGTTGCGTTACTTTCCAACTCAGTTTGTTATTCACTTTGTTACGTTAGATTATGACATGACGACATGAAATTAATTTATTGCGGCGTTCTTTTTCTTAGAAGGGTTTAGTGCAAAGCAGCAAAAAACGCCAAAGAAAAAAGAAATCATTGCAGCGTTATAGAGCATTAAGCGACAACTGTATGGAAAATAAAGTGTTTGTATCCAAGAATGACCGGTCAAAATGACCGGCAAGACCGCAGTTTGACCGGTCAAGTCCGCGATCAGGCCGGACATCTCCGCTGACCGGCCGTTATTTGCAGCCCTGTAGGCGACGCGGTGTTAGAGGATTTTCGTGGAAAAGATTGTGCCTTTGTGGCCAATTGGTTACGAGGAAAGGGCTTAAACAAGCTTTGTGCCGTATTTGAAGTATTTAAATTTTAAAATTTTTAATACTGGATTCTGGTGAGGCTTTGAATGTATGAATGTAGTTTTTTGTTGTGTTTACAATGAAATACAATACCTATACCGGCGATTCAATACAACAACATAAAATAAAATAAAATAAAAAGCTCAGGTCAACCACTTTGACCTACTGCAAGTATGTTAATTAATAAGGTGAGCGATGATGCGTGTCAGTGAAATGGTCATGATGTAGTAATCTCAATAGGTGGGATCTTTTTTATATAGAACGCTCTGTATGTTGCATGACGAGGAAAAGCTGAGCATTCAGTGACCTTGTAGCAGCGATTTCTGCCGCTTTGCACGAGACTTGTGTTCGTAGTAAATACGCTAACAGTGTTTCTCAGTTTTTATTATATTTATAAAGATTTTGTTCGACAACTAAAGACGTTTCCGCCGTCGTTCTGTCATTTTTGTGCCTGTGAAATGTCCCCAGGGTGGGGGCATTTGATGGGGCATTTGAACGGCATTTTGGCCCGGGTCGGGGTCGGGTCGGGTTGGCCCGGGTCGGGGAATTTGAACAATAATTTTCAAAAAAGTCAAATGCCCGGAGGCTTGCCCGGGGGGGGGGGATGTTGAAGCTTCGATTTGACCGATACATAAAAGGCTTTTTAATACCTTGGTTTTTTATTGCTGGAGAAATTGACCTACCATAACAAATTTATTATTGTTATTTGATAATTTGCTTTAAGTCCTATATTACTAAATAATTTTCTGGATTAAGTCAAATCAAACACAGCTGTCAGAATGCTATCCAGATTTCAAAGATGAATTTTAGTTCGAACAGGATCTTAAGAATTTGTGGAATTAGCAGAATTTAAATGGCTATGGTTATCGGACTTGCCAAGTCTAGGGGTGGCGAATGGTACCTCGTCAAACATGGGTCTCGGAAAATTTTGGCAGGATCTCGAAATCTCGGAAGCGTTTTTGACAAGTCTCGAAATCTCGTTTTTGCATGGTTTGTTTTTACTTTTTTTGAGTCTCGAAACTTTTTACCAAAGAGTCTCGGGCTCGGATTTCTAACTAGGATCGCGGCGTCTCGGCGAGTCTCGGATTTTACCATTCGCCACCCCTAAGTCTCACCACTTTGTCGTGAGTCTGACGGTTTTACGACCTATTTCAAGCTCTCGTGATAAGTTGACAACTGGTTTATCATGCTTTAACGAAAAGTCAAACTCCAAAAGAATTTTGGAGTTGTAGGGTTTATTTCCAAGTTAGATATCAATACATGTCCAGCTCAATCCAAAAAAATCGCTTAGCAGTCACATTTGATTACATTCTTTTAGCCTACCACAACTTGCTGCTACCACCAAATGTGCAGACTTACTGTTTCTCTTGTTTCAAGATGGCCACCAACAAAACATAGAAATTACAAAACCTAAATTGTAAAATTGCAGATTGTGGTGTTTACTGAGCTGCAGCTTTGAAGTGATGTGTGACTTCCAATTACCCATAATCCCCACTGGAAGTCCTTTCTGTAGGAAATTTGGGACATCTCATGACTTTTTACCCATTTCTCACCACTTTTCCCAGCTCTAGGTTCAGGAGTCTCACATATTTTCAATTTTGCCTTTTGGGGGTTGGCAAGTCTGGGTAATTGTCATGAATTTTTCAGAAAATGATAAAATGGATACTTACACTTACCTTGTCTTTTTGATAGAAGATGATTCAGTCAAGGTTTAATTAGTTTCACATACTTGGCTAAAAGAACAAGGAATTTTCACACCAAATATTTTTCTTGTTTGAATGCAAACAATACTTGAAAGTGATTAGGATTGTTGACTGGGGGGAGCTGTTTCATGGCTTCATTTCATATCAAAACAACTTGTATCAAAGTGACTTTAAGTGTCGAAACCACGCTTCAGGTTTCCACCTTAAGGCCGCTTGAAAGAGAGTGAAAATAAGTTAGAGTGAAAAATTAATTTTGCCATATAGCTTGCATTGGTCTAAGAACAAAAACGTTAATGAAAATCAATCATGCTTTTTGTGACTAGTATTGTGCCTGGGAAATTTTGAAACATGTTGAGCTACATATTTATGTGTGGCAAAAAGGGTCTCTTTGTGGCAAATTAATTTGTGCCATTTCTCTACTGGCCTACAAATTTAATAGCTTTGTAAGAAATTAATTCGATCAGTATTTGGTAACTAGAGATAGAGACTTGTTGGTTTTAAGTTGACCATGCTTGGTCTACTGAATGGTCCTGACTACAACAGAGAAATGGTGATATGTATGTAAAACTAGTAAACACAAGTTATTTTTTAGGTAGATTTGAAGAAACTCAATACCTGTCTATAAAAAATATGCAAGGAAAGCAACAAGTGTTTCATCTCGTAAAATACATGTATGGGCAAAGCCAGGGCAGGTTACTGGAGGTTATGAAACTACCTCATCTTCTTGACTATGATAATTTTTTTATGAGAAAAAAAAAACGCACCAAAAGGCCCCCACTTTCTGCCACATTACATTCTGTAAGTCAATCTTTGCTGTTCAAAAGATGTTATTCGGGCAATAACTCTTGCAGGTGTTCCTGGTCAAATGAATTGGATGCCGGCTCCTCAGGCACCAATGGGTTGCCCTCCTGGATTGGAGTATTTAACTGCCATTGATCAAGTGCTTGTGCAACAACAAATTGAGCTTTTAGAAGGTATGTTGTTTATGTATTCTTCTTACCTAAACAACTTACAGAAGTTTGTAGTTTATGCTTAGTCATATATATGCTGTGGTTCAGTTTTATCCTTGGTTTAATTTTAATTTTTCCTTGTTTCAAACTCTTTATCACACACGTACATTATTATGCCCCAAAACAAAGGAAAATAAAATTCAAACCAAGGAAAACAACATAGACCACATTATACATTATACCTGTACATGACTCATGGTGCAAAGAAAGTCAGCCAGCAAAAGTAATAGCCCAAAAGTCATTCTAACTAGCTCGAACAAAATTGCTGATGAGCAGAACTCTCTGATTAAAGAAAACTTCACTTTCCCATTGGGCAAGTTAAGAACAGAATTCACTTAGCCTGGTAGCATTATCCACTAACCATGGTATTGTTTTCGTTTCGCTGTTCTTCAAGACTCATTTGATTCTCAGTGTGTCTCAGTATTTTAACAATTCCAGTTAATTAGCGTTCACGTGTCGAAGTCGGGCTCGCCTCTTTTCTCTTCTACATTTCGAGGATTAATAGAATGATTCGCTGAAAAAGGAAAACCCAAATATCCTGATGAGAAATTCATTCAAAGGATGAAAAACTCTTGGAAAAAACTACTTACACTAGTGTGAATTGTCTCTGGGTCTTCGGTTTCTAAATTTGAATTTTTCAAAACTAAACTTTAAAACATAGCGCTCGAATGCAAAAATACCCTTAGGGAATTTAGGGGATGCATTGTTATCGGCAACAGAGTTAATTTATAACACACATAGGGCTATCGGACACTACTTTCTTTGCACTTATGGCTGTGTAAAATAATATACTTTTGAAACTTATGGTTTTCTCTTCAAATAAAGATCGAAATCTATCGCCAGGAGAAAAATGAGCCTTTTTTACTTTTCACATGCCAGCTCATACCCTGAAAATGTAGCCTCTGCTCCCAGTGTAAAACAAAGGGGAAACCAGTAAAAAGACATGGAGGACAAGTTTATTCTTTTAGCTTGAATGTTACTTAGCATAATTCATGACCTAATACTTTATTATAAGAATTTATTTATTAGCATTATTTTACATGTACTGTATCGGTATTCAATCATTCTGAGGCTTTGTGTTATTTTGGGAATGATGTTCAAGTCAGCTCTCTTTTTTTCACTGAGCTCTCCAATTCTTAGTGACTCTTATGTGACCTTTTTCCATATTAAAGCTTTTGTGGGATTTGAGACCAACAACAGGTACAAGATATGTAATTCCATGGGTCAACAGGTCTACTTTGCTGCTGAAGGTATGTTTAATAAGTCAAACAATATATTAATGTCTAGCTTGGGACCAGGCTCCCCATTGTGGGAAAAAGGAGCAAATATCAGTGTTGGATACCGTTCGTCTCGCTTCACTCGCCAATATTTTTCCTATTTGACCCCGTTTTTTGCCTTTTTCCCCCACTGCGCGGCCTGGTTCCAACTGGCTACTTAATGTCATTTTTTGTTTGTTTTTTTTTTTTTAAGAACTCTAATACAGCAGTAGCAATTAAATTGACATAAGATATGCTTACATAAAATAATTATACTTACGCATCTTCAGACACCGACTGCTGTACTCGGCAATGTTGTGGCCCTGGTCGTCCATTTGAGATGAAAATTTTAGACAACATGCAAAGAGAAGTCATACACTTGTCCCGACCCCTCCGGTGCCAGTGCTGCTGTTGTCCTTGCTGTCTTCAGGAAATAGAAGTCCAGTCCCCACCCGGGACAGTCATTGGATACGTGGAACAAAAGTGAGCTATTTTAACTGAGATCCTTACAGTAAAACTCAGAAAACTGTGAACACCTGAAAAATTTCATTTATGTGATTGTGTAGTGACCAAATTACAATAAAGTTCAGGATTACATGCCAGCAAACCTTAAAACCACAAACTAGTTACTGTTGCTGTCTAATGCAGGTTAGTTTTGTGGTGCCTTTTTGGCTTTTACCTTGCAACATATCATAAAAATTTCTGGCGTGTGAGTTTCACAATAAGTGTGTTCCCATAGGCCAAGATCTAGTCTGGCATTTAAAATTACAAGTAGTACTAAAAATTAATTGAAGTGAGTAATGCTAGTATAAACAACTGCATTTTAGAATTGAGCTTCAGGAAGTTGACAGACTATATCCTATAACTCTTTAGACTTTGAAAGAAATAAGTTTCGGCTGTTGTGGCATGATGTTACAAACAAAGGAATAATTATTCGTCATTGCCAGTGTGCAAAGAAAGTAGTGTCCGATAGCCCGGTTGCTATCGGGCTAGTGAATTCTGTTTTTAACTTGCCCGACGGGCAAGTGATGTTTTTTGAGGAATTCGATGAACAGAAGAACTGTGAAATCAATTCTGCTAGTCGAAAAGTTTTTGGGGCTAGTTGAAATGACGTCTGGGCTAGTAAATGCTAGCTTTAGCTTGCCCGAATGGCAAGCTGTAAAAATGATTTTCTTTGCACCCTGATTGCCAACATGCAGTTTATTGAAATTTATCCAGAGCTTTTTGAACCCATAGATCTGGATCCTATCATTAGTGATGCCTGCTGTTACACATGCATTTGGGTCCTCCTTTTTTGAGGCTGCAATTTTTTTTTGCATTGGGGGAAGCATTAGCCTGATTATGGTTCATTGCCAGTAATCAATCATGAATGTTATGGTCTTGTGGTTCTTGCATGAAAGGAGGTGGTTTTCGTGGCCAATATTTTTTACCCTGGCTGGCCAGTCATTTAGGAAAACAGATTTTGATCAGTCTGGAGAATTAATTGCATGTAGATATTGAGGCCTACCATAAAATTAATTAATTAATTAATTTGTTTAAATCAGGTGGACGTTGTGGAAAGCAAAGTTAGAAGTGCAAGATGCACAACGTCAGCACATTATGACGATCAATGGACCTTGCTGTCCTTGCAGCTGTGGCTCTGATGTGGAATTTCCTGTGAGTTGTTAGGTCAAAGAAATAACCCCATCATTGAAATAATGTTAAATTTTGTTTGCCACTGACTATTTGTACAGTTGATTAAAGACTTGTTGGCAATCACGTAATCTTCAAGTCCCAATACAGGGCTGTGCTTTAGCAGAGCCCAGTGGCCCCTGGCGCCTAACTTTTGCCCTCAGGCGACCAGAAAATCTCAGATTTTTCATACAAATCATATGCTGGGCACCCTAGTTTTTAAGGTTTCAGAGCACCAAGGGAAGATTTTCTCAACTAATTAGTATAGGCAACAGCATGATTTGCAGTGATATTTGGCATAAATACCACGAGTGATATTTCAAAATTGTTCTACGTAATTTCACGAGCCATTAGGTGAGTGAAATTTGAGACAATTTTGAAATATCACAAGTGGTATTTATGCCAAATATCACGTACAAATCATGCTATTATTTGTTTATACTACTACCCGCAAAAGGTTTGTAATTTTCACATGTAGGTATTTCAAATTAAGCTGAAATATTACTGCTCTAAGCCAATCAAATTGCAGAAATTTCTCATGTAGTAGTATAGTACAGTATATACAGTGTACTCACTCCGGTGTATTTATTCTGGAAATTCTCGAGAACACTTGTTGAAGAAAAGGGGGTCATTATTTCATCTGAAATAAAAATATTTCTTCTCTACCTGGCAATACTTTTTCCTTGATTTTAATTAAAATAAATTTTGCCACCTTTCTTTGAAAAAAGAAGCTTACAAAGTCTTAACAAACTTTATTCAACATCTGGGTGACATAAAGACTTTGCAAATTGGTGAAGAAATCTGCACCGTTTTGGGCTTCATCAGCTTCATCCACTATGGAAAAAAACTTTCCTCCAACAAGCCTTCGCTTTAAAGAAGCACAGTTTCTTCTAAATATTATTCGGTCTCAAACATTTGTTAGAATTTGGCATGATATCCAGAAAATCGGGAAACCGAAACTCACTATTTTAATGGAGCACTAAGTTCGATGATTTCTACTTTGTGTACTAATTATATTTTAAATAAGTTTTGTCGTTTTACATTAGGTCAGTTCTGCTGATGGCAGCAGTCAGATTGGAATGATTTCCAAGCAATGGTCTGGTTTTGCGCGAGAATTTTTCACAGATGCGGAGAATTTTGGCATTCGATGTAAGGAATGTTACCTACAAATATGATCAAAATAAGTCCTATAAATGCTTTATATGATAGGACATTTAGTTGACACAGTCGACATCTGCCAATTACGTTTTTTGACACATTCTGCTCTAGACGTTATACCACAGTGTACAGTGTATGTTGAATACTGGGACGGTACAAATGGCTTGTTCCACACTAAACAAGTTACATGTACAAGCAGTGTTAGTTTCTTGTTTGTTTTATTTTCCTGGGAAAGCCTACGTCACTATTAGGGACAGGTCAAAAAGTATAAGGGGGGGGTGTTCCGGAGCATTTGGAAATGTGGTCGATAAAAAACACGTGACCCAACCCCTCCCTTCGGCACAAAAATGACTGACCCACCCCTAAAGCAAGGTTAGAAATTGCATGACCCACCCCCTAGTTAAAACATGGATGTTTGGTTTCCTCTTAATAATCCAATAAAACCTTGTTCTGTGCATGAAAACATTTGTTGATACACTTCTACAAACAACATCAAAATCACAGAAATCATACCTTTCACTGAAAAGTTTTTGTTTCGATGGACGTTATGAGTCTTGACACAAATATACAGCAAAACAAGGGTATATTGAAATTGTCTGTCACAAAGCATATGAAAATTTCTACAAAGACAACCCATTCCTACACATTACTTGCCGGAAATGCTTAGATTAATCCTCAAAGAAAATTTCTTCCACTTCAATGGAAAGCACTACCTACAAAACCTGATGGAACTGCAGTGGGCACAAAGACAGCAGTTTTGATTCCTTTGCCAATATTTTCATGACATTGAAACAACGACTCTAAGCAAAACTGTCTTTAGAACAACAGTTTGGAAATGCTTCATACAAGATATCTTTTCCCTATGGGACATGAGTAAACCAGACATCGAAGCCTTCATTGAACAAGCAAACTTACATCACGCAACTATTGAATTCACCGCCGAAACATCTGACACTGAGACTGCGTTTTTAGACACGGTTGTATACAAATTAAGGCACAAGATTCAAGGAAAAATCTATCCTTGATGCAAAGACCCATTTTAAACAAACGGGAACCTTCTTGCACACACATTTCACCTCGTGTCACCCTCCAAATGTTAAAAAAGGATTTGTCAAAGGAGAAGCCTTGAGAATCCTACAAAAAAAACTTTTCAGAAACAACCTTTGAGGAAAATAATTCAAATTAAAAAAAAAACGCTTGATGGACTGAGGCTACCCACAATTTTTGATAGAAAACCAACTATCGGAAATAAAATTCACAAAAGGGACTCTAAACTCCTAAAACAAAACAACAAGGAGGAAAAAGAAATATTGCCATTTGCGACACAATACCAGCCCTCAGTGTCTACTACAAAGGAAGCTTGAATGAAAAAGTGGAATGTTATACAAAACTAACTATAACTTCAATAAATTTTTAAAGAGCCACCAATCATTTCCTTACAAAAAAGGAAAATCATTAAAGGACATGCTCGTTGGAGCAAAAAAAAAAAAAAAAAAAAAAACCGGTTAACAGAGGGTTCCACGCCCATATAGATGTGCGTGTCACCCTTTGTATTTTCTCGCACAACAGTTTTGTGAGTATTTTAGCAATAATTCCAGCTGGCGGTGTTTTATATAACAAGTGTAGTCAACTGTCTCGTTAGTAGTTAGTGCCTATCTATGCAATAAAATAGGGTGAGCCACCCCCTAAGAGTAGCTGAAAATTGCACGACCCACCCCTTGCACAAGGCTAAAAACCTCATGACCCGCCCCGTCTCTGCTCCGGCCCACCCTCTCCTGTACTTTTTGACCAATCCCTTAGGCTTAGACAACATGTCAAAAATATAAAAAATGGGTGGAGGGGAAATGATGTTATTCGACACGTGCGAACGCTAGGAGCACACGAAAAAAAAAGCAAACAAACAAAAACAGGAAGATCGTTTCTGTCCCATTACAACGCGTAAAGTGACGCCTACTGTTCTAGTTAGATTCAGTACTTTTTCCAGCCTTTTTTTCTCGTATATACATTTGATGAACGCGTCAGGTGTGCTAGTGATATCACTCCATACCCCTACAGTAGCCTGAGGGAGAGAACAGTTTTGGGGCGAAAAACGCATCGTTTTCCTTCCCTCACCCCACCCCCTGAGAACCTACTTACAGGCTACCTCTCTCCCTTCTTGCTCTTGTTTTGCTTCTTATTTGTCGCGTTCCCTCCAGTTTGCGTTGAGAAAATAGGGAGCTTTAGCAACGGCGACGGCAGCGAACACGTTACTTGTAAAATGAATTCGCGTCTCTTCAAACTTCGCTGAAAATGTCAAATGAAGGCGAAATTTTCAGGAATTGATTTCTTGGGGACCGCACTCAAATTTAAAAAGACAAAGAAAAATTCGTCGTGGCCTGTTTACGTCCTTTGTAAAACGTGCTTTTAGACATTTACGTCGTAGTCGTGCAGTGACGGCCAAGAAATGCACAAAAACGCGTGATGCACGTGCAAAGTTGTAGCTTGCTAATAAAAGCGGTTGCCTTTTTTGCCGTCGTCGTTGTTAAAGCTCCCTATTACAGAGGCTGTAATCCCTCTGCTTAAATATTGGTCTAGTTTTTATTAAATCTGGGCTGGTGGCAAAACCAATAAACCACTTGTGAAACCTAAATTAGGGCAAATAACTCTTTTCTCCCAAGTCCTGGCCGTTAACCATTTCTCTTTATTCAGTCCCTCTAGACTTGGATGACAAGTTCAAAGCCATTTTAATGGGAGCTTGTTTCCTTGTTGTAAGTATTCATGGCATAATCGGTCCCTTTGACTGTAAGCAAGCCCTCTATTTTGAGTGGCGAGGGAAGTCGTCCGCCAGAGAACGCGCGAGTGAGCGGCGTGTTGCTTCTCGCACCCAAATGGAGAGTTTGCTTAGAGGCTACGTTGCCCAAAGCAGTTAAACTCATGTCAATGAAAATCACGCTCACATCTGGATAAGGGTGCGTTCGATTAACTTTATTCTAAAATAGTCGTTCTTGGTAGTTTGCAATCACATGACCAGGCGACCATGTTGGTTGACAAAACAGTACATTTTTTGTTCGTTGAATTTGCACGAAAAAAGAAATTTATAGTTGCCAGCGAAGGGGAACGCTTTTGTTCATGTCAACCAACCCGTTTTCAAAAATATCCGATACATGTGGATATAGCAGGGCCTGACATTTTAAGATTGTACGTTTAACCAATGGGGTTTAGAGTCGAAGAAAAGTTTTTAGCGCTCCTGCTTGGGCCTAATCTGTCTAATCTGCGAGACAGCCGTTTTTAGTGTCGTCACGCAACGCGCGATCCTCTTGTGAGGAGGAGCGTTGCGTGACGACACTAAAAACGGCTGTGTTGCCGACTAGTTTGGGCTACTCGCTACGTGATCATCAACTAATTATGCCCCATTCACACCAAAGCTTATAAATGTTTTGTTAAACAGGGTTCAAAATTGTCTCCTTAATAAAAGCTGCTCACGGACTTTTAGCTATTACAAATTATGTGCAAATTACAGAGTAAGTTAAAATTTAGTGAATTATTGTGTAAATGTGTGAGTTCCAGTTGTCCATCACTGCTTTTCATTTTTTAAAACCTAGTTTAATTAAACAGGTTTAGTTGTTGTGAATGGGTTATCCTACGGGTTAGGGGGTGGAGACGTATGACATTTCAGACTAAACATTGTGTATTTTTATTTTTTTTGTTTGTTTGTTTCTCAGGATTTCATGTTCTTTGAACATCAGAACAACAACAATTGATACTCAGTCGATGCGGTTGCAAATCAGTTAACCTTTGGAAGTGGATATGTCGTGGTAGCTTTATACTCATTTCATTTATTTACATTGTATGCTACAGCGCGTGCTCAACCCTAGGAACGATTATTGTATTTAATAATTGTATTTAATTATTCTATTTTAATAAGCGCGCCTCAAATGCGACGCTTTTTCGAATAATACGGTATCTTACGCTACTGTAGTTAAGGCTATACAGGGAAACTTCCCTTCATCAAATAACTTACAAGACGATTATTTTTGTACAATTTTTGATGCGATTTTGCATCGCTTATGCAACCTAGCGGCGATTTTATTGTCATTTTTCATTCTGGCCCCGGTCGTTCAAACGTTGGATAATGCTGCCCACTTGAAATTTATCGAGGTGGATAGCGTTATCCACCTTTGGAACAACTGGGGCCTGGAACCAATATCCAGACAAACCTTGGAGGCTTGACCCGCAACCTCGCAGGGAAAAACTTGCGATCGAGGCTAGACAGGTAAAACAAAGCTACTTTAGTCTCTCGAGACAAAATGACCGCCGTGTGACGAAGGCCCGTAGTGGTAATCACGTGACCGTCTACGTCCTAACGTCCGTTCACCCCTACATGTAAGCCAGTGTCAAATGTCACAATTACTACAAGCACTATACTAAGGGCGGGCAGTGTAGGAGCTGCTCGTAAAGTCTCTCCTAATTGGTCGCGGGAAACAATGACTTGTCATTCTTCCAATTGTTTTAGTATTGTTTGGGGTCAGAGAAACGCACCATTGGTGACTTTTCCGAGCAGCAGCTACGTGACACCGGGTAAGGCATGGCAGGAGCCCAGGGAAAATGACAAAAGCCCGTCAGTTATATACGCCATCCATATGAAGATGAACTGACAGCCGTCAAAGCCGAGTCTTTTTTTTTTCGACTAAGACGTGTAACTAGGAAGTTTCACGTTTTAGTCGTGCAAATTTATGACAAAAAAGTGTACAAAGTTGTTTTTTTTTGCCAATAAGATCTATCGTTTTGTTGTTTTTCTTTTACCGTTCTCGTTACCGTGTCGCTGTTTAGATTTTTTGTTCGTGTAAACTATAAGCATATTAACGCTTTTAGCCCTGGCTAAACCTATAAAGTAGAAATAAATACTTTTAAATCCTTAAATATTACAAATATCTAGTGCATACTCTCATACCACTTGTAATAATGTAATGCCGACAAAATGAATTAAATTGAATCCTGTTTTCCATAAATGCCGTTTTTGAGTTAGAAGTTAACAGCTGCCGAAAGCTAGTCAGAATTTTTGCTTGTCTTATATCAGGAGGTTAAATTGTTCTACAGTACAGCCATGCGGTAGCAGAAGCTATTTTTATAGTAATTGGTACGTGGCAAGAGACTCCAACGCACATACGCCCGTGCGTACAGCTGAAATCTAAAAAGATATATTTTTCCTGAAAGCGTTTTTATCATTTATCGGAATGACTGATTTTCCACATTACATTGGTATCTCTGCTCGCCTGATGGGTAGACGTCTCGCCCCCAGTGCTTGTAACCTCTTTATTGGCTTCACTGTTTCACTCTTTTTGCCACAAACACTTTACCTTACCGATTACAATAGAGATGGGTAAACTAAACAACAACTGTTGCGTGTTCCGTCATTTTCGAGCCCCTAAATTTAATGAATTTCAAAGGACGTATGCCTCCAAACCTTCCTAGTTTGCAGCGCCTTCGGTGGTCTACCTTTTGTTCCTCTCTTCTTCACGCTGCTGCAATGTATAAATTTGATAGAAAGGTAATCAAGCGTAAGGCAATTTGTAAAGGTAATAGCATGATTTGTGGTGATATTTGGCATAAATACCACGAGTGATATTTCGAAATTGTTATAGGTAATTTCACGAGCCTTTAGGCGAGTGAGATTTCAGATAATTTTGAAATATTACGGGTGGTATTTATGCCAAATATCACGTATAAATCATGCTATTATTTGTTTATACTACTACCCGCAAAAGGTTTGTAATTTTCACATGTAGGTATTTCAAATTAAGCTGAACCACTGCTCTAAGCCAATCAAATTGCAGAAATTTCTCATGTAGTAGTATAATCGCCATCTCGACCATATCAATGGGCCACTTCCGAGTTCCAAAAACCCTCACTTTTAAAATGAGGCCAAGTGCACAACCTTTTTTTGTGAAAATAATTTTTATTTGCACAAGAATGAAAAATCATTTTCATATCAAAGGCTGAGCACTTAACCTCGTTTTGATAGAGCGGCTCGGGAGAACTCGGAAATGGCCTACTAGGCGCTGGGTTTCAATTTTTTTTTCCAATTTTTCACCCCAAGCCAGTTTTAAGAGCGAATGTCTGTAAAAATCGATCAGGAACGGGGGATATAATTGAAAAAAAAAATCCCCTCAAATTCTATAATTTAACAGACGGCGATTACAGCAGGCTCTCAACGACCCGGTCAGCTGATTGTAATGTATGCCTAAACCCTACGAAGACCAAGATCATGCTGTTCTCAACTCAATCAATCAATAAATCAGTCAATCAATATAGTAATTTTTTTTCATTATATTTGTCATGCGTTTCATACATGAGCCCCTGCGCCGGCTCGGATTCTGAGGGCTCAATCCCACGCAATGACTTTAAATAAATTGATTGATTGATTGATTGATTGATGAAAATACTATATACATTTTAGTTTCATCGGATAAGTATTTTATTGTTGCCAAATACGACGAGTCAGAGTGTCAAGTGCAGGCGATTTACGACCGGTTGCAAGACCGCTTTTTTGGGCCCCAGGTAAACCAGGCTGCGAAAAGAAAAGACCTTGATTTCGATCATTCAACCCCCAGGAGAAGCTTCTTACCGGAGTATAGCTATCGTGGGCCGTTGGCCGTGGGAATGCAGGGGTCGTTGGTCGTTGGATTGGGTCGTGATGTCTCGGCTAAAACAAAAACGTATAGAAGGGAAATAAATAGAGCAAAAAGAAACTGTGCAAGTTTGCAAGGCACCTCAAGCAAGAAGCAAGTAAAAGCCGAGCAAGCAAGTAAAGCACCTCATGAGTACGGCAAGCACCTGTCACATCCACGCAGTGTATTCCGGATTCCAGGTACTGCCTCCAGGTGTTTGTCAGTGAAACTTGGATTCCGGATGTCAATCGTTAGTGGGATTCCGGATTCCTAGAGCCGTATTCTGGATTCCAGGGTTTTGGATTCCGCAAGCAAAAATTTCTCGGATTCTGGAGGTACACACATCATATATGAGTCAGGCGAATTACAGGTAGGTACATCATGTATGGGGACATATATTGTACCGCTTTTACCTAATTAACTTATAACTTCACTCTTTCTGCTTGGTTCCTTGTTGCCTTGAAGCTTTGTTCTCTGTTAACTTGTTGCTCTGTTTCCTTGTTTCCTAGTTACTCTGTTTCCATGTTTCCTTGTTACCTTGTTACTCTGTTACCTTGTTACCTTGTTACTCTGTTACCTTGTTACCTTGTTACCTTGTTACCTTGTTACTCTGTTACCTTGTTACCTTGTTACTCTGTTACCTTGTTACTCTGTTACTCTGTTATCTTGTTACTCTGTTACCTTGTTACCTTGTTACTCTGTTACCTTAGTACCTTGTTACTCTGTTACCTTGTTACCTTGTTACTCTGTTACCTTGTTACCTTGTTACTCTGTTACCTTGTTACCTTGTTACCTTGTTACTCTGATACCTTGTTACCTTGTTACCTTGTTACTCTGTTACCTTGTTACCTTGTTACTCTGTTACCTTGTTACTCTGTTACTCTGTTATCTTGTTACTCTGTTACCTTGTTACCTTGTTACTCTGTTACCTTAGTACCTTGTTTCTCTGTTACCTTGTTACCTTGTTACTCTGTTACCTTGTTACCTTGTTACTCTGTTACCTTGTTACCTTGTTACTCTGTTTCCTTGTTACCCGGTTACCTTGTTACTCTGTTACCTTGTTACCTTGTTACTCTGTTACCTTGTTACTCTGTTACTCTGTTATCTTGTTACTCTGTTACCTTGTTACCTTGTTACTCTGTTACCTTAGTACCTTGTTACTCTGTTACCTTGTTACCTTGTTACTCTGTTACCTTGTTACCTTGTTACTCTGTTACTTTGTTACCTTGTTACTCTGTTACCTTGTTACCTTGTTACCTTGTTACTCTGTTACCTTGTTACCTTGTTACTCTGTTACCTTGTTACCTTGTTACTCTGTTACCTTGTTACTCTGTTACCTTGTTACCTTGTTACTCTGTTACCTTATTACCTTGTTTCTCTGTTACCTTGTTACCTTGTTACTCTGTTACCTTGTTACCTTGTTACTCTGTTTCCTTGTTACCTTGTTACTCTGTTACCTTGTTACCTTGTTACCTTGTTACTCTGTTACCTTGTGACCTTGTTACTCTGTTACCTTGTTACCTTGTTACTCTGTTACCTTGTTACCTTGTTACTCTGTTACCTTGTTACCTTGTTACTCTGTTACCTTGTTACTCTGTTACTCTGTTACCTTGTTACTCTGTTACCTTGTTACCTTGTTACCTTTTTACCTTGTTACCTTGTTACTCTGTTATCTTGTTACTCTGTTTCCTTGTTACTCTGTTACCTTGTTACCTTGTTACTCTGTTACCTTGTTACCTTGTTACCTTGTTACTCTGTTACCTTGTTACGTTGTTACCTTGTTACTATGTTACCTTGTTACCTTGTTACTCTGTTACCTTGTTACCATGTTACCTTTTTACTCTGTTACCTTGTTACCTTGTTACTCTGTTACCTTGTTACCTTGTTACCTTGTTACTCTGTTACCTTAGTACCTTGTTACTCTGTTACCTTGTTACCTTGTTACTCTGTTACCTTGTTACCTTGTTACTCTGTTACCTTGTTACCTTGTTTCTCTGTTACCTTGTTACCTTGTTACTCTGTTACCTTGTTACCTTGTTACCTTGTTACTCTGTTACCTTGTTACCTTGTTACTCTGTTACCTTGTTACCTTGTTACCTTGTTACTCTGTTACCTTGTTACCTTGTTACTCTGTTACCTTGTTACCTTGTTACTCTGTTACCTTGTTACCTTGTTACCTTGTTACTCTGTTACCTTGTTACCTTGTTACTCTGTTACCTTGTTACCTTGTTACTCTGTTACCTTGTTACTCTGTTACTCTGTTACCTTGTTACCTTGTTACCTTGTTACCTTGTTACCTTTTTACCTTGTTACCTTGTTACTCTGTTATCTTGTTACTTTTTTTATCTTGTTACTCTGTTACCTTGTTACCTTGTTACCTTGTTACTCTGTTACTCTGTTACCTTGTTACCTTGTTACCTTGTTACTCTGTTACCTTGTTACCTTGTTACTCTGTTACCTTGTTACCATGTTACCTTTTTACTCTGTTACCTTGTTACCTTGTTACTCTGTTACCTTGTTACCTTGTTACCTTGTTACTCTGTTACCTTGTTACCTTGTTACCTTGTTACTCTGTTACCTTGTTACCTTGTTACCTTGTTACTCTGTTACCTTGTTCCTTGTTACTCTGTTACCTTGTTACCTTGTTACCTTGTTACCTTGTTACTCTGTTACCTTGTTACCCTGTTACCTTGTTACTCTGTTACCTTGTTACTTTGTTACCTTGTTACCTTGTTACCTTGTTACTCTGTTACCTTGTTACCTTGTTACCTTGTTACCTTGTTACTCTGTTACCTTGTTACCTTGTTACCTTGTTACCTTGTTACTCTGTTACCTTGTTACCTTGTTACTCTGTTACCTTGTTACCTTGTTACTCTGTTCCCTTGTTCCCTTGTTACTTTGTTAATCTGTTAGTCTGTTACCTTGTTACTCTGTTTCCTTGTTACCTTCGTCTTACCTCGTTAGTCTGTTACCTTGTTGCTTCGTTACCTTGTTACTCTGTTACCTATTACCTCAAGATATCTAGGAATGTGTGTAGACGTAATACGTCACATGCACACTTGTCAGAGTTAAAGCGCACTTGCTATTGACATGCCTAGGACGCCGCGATCAGTCAGTACCAGATTGTGGTAATGTTAAACTGCCCCCGCGGCCTTGTTTGACGGTTTGTATGGTATGGCGTGGCAGTGCGTAAAGAACTGTAAAAGAAAAAAAATGCGAAATATATGTCCAGGAATGATCTTGTTAGCAAATTCTCTCCGCAATTTTCGCAAAGAAAATAATTCACCGAAAATTTTTTGAGACAATCACTTGCAAATATCGCATGAGTAGAAAAACCAATAAAACAAAATTCTAGACTTAGAAAAAAATCGCAAAGTAACAAGGATTTTTCCTGCTACCTAAAAACACTGAAAAGGTAAGAAATATCGCAAAAATAGCAAGAATGACAAATTTAAAAATTCTAGAAAAATGGCCAAGAAGGGCCTCCAAAAGCCCTCAAATTTCGCAAAAATCGCAAAACTAACAAGGATTTTTCTTGCTATGTGAAGAGATTGAGCATTCGAAACATCGCAAAAGCAAGAATAAAAAAATTAAATAAATTCTAGACTTAGAGAGAGAAAAGGCCAAGAAGGTGAATTCTTTTCACAAATTCTTTTTTTTTTCGATTTATGGGAAAATTTGAGGCCTTCTCGTGGCCCTTCATTGTCTTAATCTTTTCACATAGCAAGAAAAATTCTTGTTAATTTTGCGATCTTTGCAAAATTTGCGGACTTCTCGAAGTCCTTCTAGGCCTTTCTTCTAGAATTTTGTTAAATTTTTTATTTTTGCAATTTTTGCCATATTTGTTACTCAATCTTTTCACACACCAAGCAATTTTCTTTACATCTTTTTAGTTAAAATTGCCAGAAGAATTTGCTAGCAAGATGGGCGGGACTATTACTAGATCAGTGGTGGAAGTTGTGTAGATACGTCAAAGAATACCGTGATAGACTTGATAGGTAGTCGCAGGCAGTGAAGTTGGAACAGCGAAGGTGTATCGCCATCAAAATCTATTTGTGTCGGTGACCTATACTAGCGACAGCAGCGTTTTTATTACTTGCGAATTAAGGAAACTATATAATAGGCTATCGCAATACGCTACTCTGCTTGTTATAAAAGTAAGAACTAACAATTCATGCAGCTGCTGGACAACCTTTTTAATACTTTTTAATGATCTACGGATGATAATGATAAAAATGATAAAAGGCCAAGTAACACCAATGAAGCAAAGAAAAAGAAAGAGAGAATTAGTTTCTCCCTACAAAGGGAAAAAAGGAAAGGAGTTTATGGAAGACCAAAAAGCATCTATCAGTTCAGGGACCTGGAGAAATCTAGAAACATTTTGTTTGATATTATGCCGAGAGGTGCTGTTATCCCATAGCATTTCGGAGAATCCAGGAAATTTGAAAGTGTTGTACAATTTCGTTGCCCAATCGGATAGCGTTAAGGCAATGTTACTACCCATTAGTGTCAAATCTACCTCACAAATTGCCGCAAAAATAGCATACTTGAGTAAATTCCATGAAATTTGAAAAAGTCTGACAATGGACTAATCTTGTAACGGTGTAGTCAAGATACGTTCAAAATTTTAAGTGGCACTCCCTTTTATAGTTGCCGACATCACGAGGCAAAAAGCGATAGTGACAATCTCGACTGAATGAATTAGTGACCTTCAAACTATATATCGGTGTATTACGTATCGCATGGAGTTAAGTGTTTGTTTAATTTTAATTTTCAGTCGTGCCACTGTAAAAAATCCAACTTATCTTGATACAACTGATATCGCTTATTGTATTATTCCTTATAGCCGCAAAAGTTACAATCAATTCAGATGTAATAATTTGGCATATAACGTGATCCACAGTTAATGTAAAAAATGAAAACGGTGTTGAAAGAAAAAAGAGAAAAAACGATTTTGCTTTGATTTGCATAATGAAAAGTGATCAGATATCAGTTGCATTGCATAAACTTTAATGTTGGACGTAACGGATCTGACCTCGAGATCAGGCAAAGCCAAGAGTTGGCAGTTAGGTCTGACGTTAGGGTTTGTACAACTGACCTCTGGAAGTCTCAAAAAAACTTGAAGACTAAATCGGTAGATGGAGGAAACCAGCTTGGAGTTATCTGGTATTTAATGCAAAACTGAACTGATCTACATTAGTTACTCGATTTCCTGTTGTTGTGCGGTTTTCAACGATTGTCTCGATAACAGATAAGGTATGATTAAAAAACGAATGCAATAAAACTTCAGCCTCACTTGTGTGACAGAGTAACAAGGTAACAAGGTAACAGAGTAACAAGGTAACAAGGTATAAAAGTAACAAGGTAACATAGTAACAAGGTAACAAGGCAATAAGGTAACGGAGTAACAAGGTAACAAGGTAACAGAGTAACAAGGTAACAAGGTAACAAGGTAACAAGGTAACAGAGTAACAAGGTGACAAGGTAATAGAGTAACAAGGTAACAGAGTAAAAAGATAACAAGGTAACAGAGTAACAAGGTAACAGAGTAACAAGGTAACAAGGTAACAGAGTAACAAGGTAGCAAGATAACAGAGTAACAAGGTAACAAGGTAACAGAGTAACAAGGTAACAAGGTAACACAGTAACAAGGTAACAAGGTAACACAGTAACAAGGTAACAAGGTAACAGAGTAACAGGGTAACAAGGTAACAAGGTAACAGAGTAACAAGGTAACAAGGTAACAGAGTAACAAGGTAACAAGGTAACACAGTAATAAGGTGACAAGGTAACAAGGTAACACAGTAATAAGGTAACAAGGTAACAAGGTAACACAGTAGCAAGGTAACAAGGTAACAAGGTAACAAGGTAACAGAGTAACAAGGTAACAAGGTAACAAGATAACAGAGTAACAGAGTAACAAGGTAACAAGCTAACAGAGTAACAAGGTAACAAGGTAACAGAGTAACAAGGTAACAAGGTAACAGAGTAACAAGGTAACAAGGTAACAGAGTAACAAGGTAACACAGTAACAAGGTAACAAGGTAACAGAGTAACAAGGTAACAAGGTAACAGAGTAACAAGGTAACAAGGTAACAGAGTAACAGAGTAACAAGGTAACAAGGTAACAGAGTAACAAGGTAACAAGGTAACAGAGTAACAGAGTAACAAGGTAACAAGGTAACAGAGTAACAAGGTAACAAGGTAACAGAGTAACAAGGTAACAGAGTAACAAGGTAACAGAGTAACAAGGTAATAAGGTGTCAGAGTAACAAGGTAACAAGGTAACAGAGTAACAAGGTAACAAGGTAACAACGTAACAAGGTAACAAGGAAACATGGAAACAGATAAACTAGGAAACAAGGAAACAGAGCAACAATTTAACAGAGAACAAAGCTTCAAGGCAACAAGGAACCAAGCAGAAAGAGTGAAGTTATAAGTTAATTAGGTAAAAGCGGTACAATATATGTCCCCATACATGAAGTACCTACCGCCGTGGGGACGTATGACGCGTTTGAGACGTCTAGTACACAGGGTGTCCCAAAAGTTCGTTCCTCTACTTTATAAGTCTGTATTTCAGAACGATTGGACTTGGTAAGCAAATCATTTCAACAAAAGTTGTCTTTCAATATAATTCACTATTTTCATACTTGTTGTGCCATCTTTTGACTCGAATATTCGATTTGTGTACTTCCGCGCCAAAGGTGCGCGTGTGCGAGTGTATTCTCCAGCCACACATTTTACGTATTTCATAGCCCGAATCGCTCGATTTCCATCTTTGTTTTTTTTGTGAATATCACGAAACATAAACCCCCTCAACGCAAAAACGTTCAGCTGCGTGAGAGCATAAGCAAGTATACTTCGATTTACTGGCTTATCTGTTGTAGAAATTGCTAAAAAACTGGAAAAATCCGAATTTTGGGTGGTAGAATGATCATGGAGATATGAAGGTTTTGAAGGCAAGAAACTAAGCGGAAGACCAAAAGCCCTGAATAAAGCAGCTAAAATAGTTTTAAAGAAGGCTTGATACAAAATAGGGGACTCGACAAGGAAGCTCAGTCTCACATAGTTAGCAAGGCAAAGAAAAGGGACATGAAAAGCTGTTTGAAATGTTTAAAATTAGAGGCCCCTGAGATGGCAAAAATCCTCTGCTTAGTCTGCCAATTAACGCCCAGCTCATTTCAAATTTGTAAAGAATTACAAAAGCCTTGCTGTGGAAGGGGGCCGGGATGATTATCTTTTTTGGATGAATGCCCAAAATAAATTTTTTTCAGCTGCCTAAACTAAACAAATATTGTTTGGGGGTTGAACTGGATCCTACGCACCAGGTGATAAAAAAGCTCAAAATCGATCATTTGTAGGTCTACCCGCTGTATCCCACTTGATGCCGCAATAAATAAAAAAACAAAAAGGGCATGCCAGTTACTGAAATTCTAAACACATGTACTTGATAGAGAAATAAACATCTTCTAGAAATTTCAAGTAAAAATAAAGTTTTGATCAAAAGTTATAGTGCATGAAATTAGAGGAACGAACTTTTGGGACACCCTGTATATACGGAAACTAAGGCAAAGTCGCTTTAAGGTGTGGAACAATAAATTAAATGTCTGGGTATAGGGAACCCTGAGTGACAAACTGATCATGATGTTGTGACAGTTCAGTGTAACCACTCAGCTTCTTAGTCGTTTTGAAGTTTCCTTGCAATGTATCAATTAAGACTAGCCTGAGAAAACAGCCGACATTATGCAACGCAACCACTGGTTTTCCTGCAAACTGACGTCTGAGAAACGAGCTTAGAAATTCCTTGCTGCTGACGCGTCACTACCCAGATCTGGGTAGTGACTCCGAATGGCTGAAGCAAATTTGTAGCCAATCAGACGCACTACCAAGATCTGGGTAGTATCGCGTAAGCA